CGTGCTAGTACTAGTGCTAGTGCTAGCAGGTAAGGGTTCTAGTGGAAGCAGGAGTGGTGGTGCAACGATGTCAGCAACGGTAGAGCAGTCGAGGCAGAAAATAATGCCAACAGTTGCAAAATGGTCAAGCAGCCTCGTCGGGTGGGAATAGGTCGAAGCAAAGTTCTGCAATTCGAGCCCGAATATTATTCTCAGCAGGAAGCAACTTGTGACATCATTTCATCATTTAGCTATCAGTTCCGTATGCACTGACAAGAAATAGCGCGAACCAAACGAAACTGTTTCGAAAGAAAGGTGAATGGAATGCCTCCGATTCCAAACTGACCATTCTGAAGTGTTTCATTTCTGTGTTCATCTTGTGTCGTCAAAACTTCGCCAGGCTCCAGCTTTGCAAACCAAGCCCTGCGCCGAAGCTGCCGAACCCGCCTGCAGTGCCTGCGAAATCAGAGAAGGCGTCTGGCCATAAAGGTGTCTCAAGCCTTCCACCTTTCCTCAGTACCAAGGGCAGCTTCTTGCGCAGCACGTAAAACGTGTGTGCTTAGCGCAAAGGAATTTATGGGATCGTTTTCATTGCCCTCTGAGCACACACAAGCCGGATCACCCTTGAACCATTGCGAGCTAGTCAGATCAACGCCCGATAGTCTTTTTTAAAGAGTCGGCCTACATTTGCTATGTTAATTGAGGCATATTGAGGCCATGATATCCTGAGACGTAAGCTACATGGTTTTTGTTTTGGAATTGGTGCCTGAAAGCAAGAAAAGAGATGGACTGGCAGAGCACTCTTGCAGTGCGATGTGTTGAAGTGACACGTTTCGGCATTGGGAAATGTAACGCTAGAAGCTACTAGATGCTACTATAGTAACAAGAAGCTACTAGGGGCTCCTGACCTTACTACTAGGAGCAAGGACGCTACTAGGGCTCCTGGCATCGCTACTAGGAGCATTCTTACTACTATTTCAAATCAAAATTTGGTGGAACAAGGCCTCGGCTTCACCGCAATTCGGTCCACGTGTGGATCACGGAGCGCAACCTGTGGCAGGCTGTGCATGTCAGCAGGTCCTGTGCGCTGTCAATATCGCGCTTCATTTGACATTGTCAAGTTCATGGAATGTTCATATAACAATTCAACTATCTCAAGCCCAAACGAGGCGGTCCGAAACGGCCGCAGTCAGTCCGGGCAGGTCCAGAAATCTTCAAGATGGGACCCAAAAGGCGCTTCAAACAAAATGTGTTCCGCGCTCAACGTGGTGCACGTGTGGCGCTGCGAAACGTTCGCAGGATGGGCCCCGCGATGCTGTGTCCTGCGGTGCCAGCGAAGTTGGGCGATCACCCGGCACCATCGTTTCAGGTCGGGGCATTGAGCTATGAACGTTGCAAGGGGCACTACTAGGAGTCCGAGCAAGGACGCTACGAACGTAGCTCCTGGCCTTACTAGTAACAAGAAGCTACTAACAAAGGGCATCGTTTCAGGTTGGAATGAGCTTCATGGAGTCGGGGCCTCGGGACGTCGAAGTCACTTTAACTCTTTCCGGTTGGAAAGGTTTTCGAGGGACTTTGATAAGGACAGCTGGAAATACTTCAAGTTCTGACGCGACGATCATGTTCTTTTTGAAGTGAATCGTTTCTCTGAAGCTTTCCATGCTCCAAAATTGCAATTGAGACTCGGACCAGTAAGACAGCTTGAGGCCACTCAGTGGCCTAAGCACTGCGAGCAGCTGTGCCACACGCAAAACCCAAGGTGACACTGACACGTTGAGAGGGCAGTTTGTAACAACTCAGCGTACGTACCGATTGAATGCTTCCTCTGACACGTTCGTGTATGTGTTCGACATGGGCACCAGTGACACCAGACTCCCTTGTCAAGCACTTGGCAACCCAGGTACCCGTCAATGGGCTTTGTTGATGTGTCATTTGCTAACGATACTCTCATGACTGTCAAGGTACCATGAATTACCGAGCTTGCCTCTTCCGAGAAGTGAACTTCGGGTAGCTGCGTAGCTTGCCGCAGGTGATATGGTTCTACAGGTCCTTTTGCAGGGAGACAGGCAGGGCCTTGTCAATTTCCAGAGCTGCAGACTGGCTGGAATTTAACGAATCTGCAAACCGGAAGCACAGGTGGGTACCCGTGCGTTTTCATAGGCAAAAGGCTCAGTCTGCTCTCATTGCATGCATTGACGTCCATCGATTGCGCTTACCTCAAGAAACTCACGGGATGATACCGAATGACATTCCGTTAGATTCAGACAGTGAATCTTTGCCTGATTTGTTTTGTGGTTTGGAACAAAAAGGAAAGGACGCCACTAGGAGCAAGGGGCATCGCTACTAGGAGCAAGAAGGACGCTACTAGGGGCTCCTGGCATCACTACTAGGAGCAATGTTTGCTATTAGAAACAATAATTTTGTTTTGAATTCAAGACTCTGCCAGGAACAAGAAGCTACTACTAGGGGCTCCTGGCCTTACTACTAGGAACAAGGAAGCTGCTAGGAACGATGTCGACCTTTTGAGTTTGGCCCAAGGACGGATGACTTGGAACGACGCGCGAATGATTTTTTGGAGGAGGGGACAGACCTTTTAGCAGAAAGTTCACACGGTTGAGATTTTACAACTAACCCGTAATCTTCATCACAGTTCATCTCAAATTGAGCTATCCTGCCGTCCAGTGGGAGGGTCCTGTACCTACTAGCTACCCAGCTACTACTAGCTACCTCTACCGCCTCTACCAACCTACCTGTACGGCCTACCCCCCCGGGGCTAAAAAAGAACAAGTTCTTTCTCGACGTTGTTCGTCTTTGTTCGCCTCACTTCACTTTATTTCCGCCGCTTCGCCTCCCCGTCGAGGAACACAAGCTTAGCTCTTTGGTAAAAGCGGGGCTCTTGCGCCAACTAAAGCAGATGGCCACTTGGAAGTGCAATCTGTAAACTACGCAACGTCGCTCAAACAGACCTCTTTATCGTCTTTTTGCTTATTGCATTCCTTTCCTTCCTTTTGATGTTTTGTTTTTTGTGTTTCCTTTGGGCGGTGCTTAGGCCACAAAGAGGTCGTGGGTAGAGACGTAGGAAGGCCCTGTAGTTAGCAAGAAACTACTAGGACTTGGGAGGGAGAACAAAGGGCCCTTGGAAGATCTTGGAAGCTTCCTAAGTGCTTCCCCATCTTCTTTCCCAACAGATCTTGCAACCCTCCTCCCCAATCCTCCAAATTTTGATGACCGCTCTCCCTAGAATGTGTCACATTGGTTGGCCGCGGTCTCAGCCGCTCGAGGTGACGATGCGCCAACTGTCGGCATCGGTGGATGTCGTGGATCTTCTGTGACGGAGCTGTTCAAAGAGATGTGCTGCACCGTTGTGGCTTACGGTGTAGAAACACATGTGGCTAATGTAGAAACATGTAGAAACTTTGACGTCCAGCCATCAGAGAGGGAGTTTTGCTCACTCTGATAGTTTGAGCAACGTGTCTCATTCGTTTACATACCAGTTCAACACCCCTCAGGATGGCATGGAGCCCTGTAGTGTCAGGACAGAAGTTGCAACTTGATTGAGCCCAAAATACCTGGCTCATTGTGCAAATAATTCAGGCCTAGCCATGCGACTGAATTCAGACCATCTCCATCAGACCACAAGAACCATCAGATGCTACAGATGCTACAGATGCAACGAGGCAGATGCTACAGATGCTACAGCACAAACTTAAACGTCGCCCGACGTTCACGGCATTGGGATCTTCTAAATCGCTTCAGCCCTTTCACGGTGGCTGGAGCAGTTTAAGGAAGGACATGTGAGATTCTGGTTTTATTGCGTTGCTCGTTTGTAGGTGTGGCACTGGGCCAAATTGCAAGTCCTGTGTGAACTCTTCCGAAGATGACCGTACAGTTTAAGCATGCTTAAGCAGTATTTGCTTCAACTGTGCCCAGGAGTGCTAGACGAGCACATAAAGTGTTTGTGTGTTTGGCCAATTATATAACATTATTGTGCATAAGTCCTGGAAGTCCTTGGATGAATCTTTTATCCCGTACGTTGTTCCTTGTTGATTGGATGTGAATTGGTCAAGCGCCAACCAGTTGATGTATTACACCACCCCGCCCCACTTGGCAACGTGTGGGGTAAAAGTACTGTGCTCACGTTTCCAGATCGCATTGCTAGTCTCCTCTGGACATCGGACTCCACTTGGGTGAACCTAGAAACAAGAAGCTATTAGAATCAAAAAGCTACTACGAACAAGTGCATCGCTTCTAGTAACAAGTGCCTTACTACTAGAAACAAGAACCTAGAACGACTCATTGCAGTTTTGCTTCATTTTGCTTCTACCTCGGCTGTCAACAGACCGTTGTACTAGGTCATCGCTAGTAGGCCATTGGACCGATGTACCTATTATACCTAACGGTTGAACTGTTCAAACCTGCCGCTTGGATCAAACAGCCCCAGGGGCGCTAAAGAGTGGCCGGATCGGCCGCATTTTGCCATGGACAAGGCACTTTCTCATCCATTTGCATTGATGTATCAGCAAGGTCAGGAAGGGTACTCCAATCCTTGCAGAACACTGCGCCCTTGTCACGTTCATAAAAAGGCAGCAAGTGTCCGATGGGCATGCCAGGAAGTGGTCATTCTGATCAAATCTGCTAACCAAAGTCATGTTTGGTCCTGCTGGACCAACCATGTGGAATTCTTTGGTTGTGCGTTGAGGTCCATGCAACCGAACGTGGGTTGCCCAGTTAGATGGTATGCTTGAGAATCCTGGCCTAGTCGCTTTGGGCACGTTGCACTTTTTTCCAGACAGCGTGAGCTATTGGGGTTCTTACTTCAAATATAGGAAGAGTTCTGGGTGCTGGTGCCGCTGCTGTGCCGCCCTTGGGAGCTTGGGTGCTGGAGCCGCTGCAGTGTGCCTTTGCAGTGTGCTGGTGCAGTCTTTTTGCTATCTGGGGCCCCTCTGCAGTCTTTTTTGCCTCACTGAGAACAGGTTGCTTTGAACACATTTGCTGCTTTACAGTGAAGTGCAGCCCAGGCAGACGGTATTCAGCTGGCAGCAGGTGTGACTTATTGTTCAGGTAAGTAAGTAGATAGTAGCTCTGTGATGATAAAAGAAAAACGCCTCTAGACTCTGTAAACCGAGTGCAAAACCTGAAGGAAAATCCAAAGTGCATTGATTTGCTACTTTGGACTTTCCTTGTGTTCAATCATGTGTTCGTTTACTGCGACTTGTGCTGACTGTGGCGACCAAACACTCATGACCCGTGTAGGAGATGGTGTCGATCGCTTCGATATCTTCGAGTTCCTGGACCGAATCGAGGCGACCAAAAGACAAACATTCTAATAGCTTTTTGTTACTACTAGTAAGGCACTTGTTACTACTAGCGAGGCACTTGTTCCTAGTAGCTTCTTGCTCATATGGAAACAATTGGAAAAAACTATGGACACTTTGTTTACACTCCATGTTCTTTCTTCTTTGTGTTTTTCATCAGCTTGGTGCTGGATGGCTGGATGATTCTGTCAGGACTACCATCCCAGCCATTTGGTTGCGTGGCTTCAGCTCACTGGGCTCGCGTTGAGCACCTGATGTCAATATTTGTAGACTTTGAAGTCATTATATATATATATATATACTGCCAACTGGACAAATTTGGCCCATGAACTTGCCAGCTTAGCAATTGAATGGCTTAAGCAATTCGATGCCAGATCACGATTGGTGACCATCGAAGAGCTTCCAGCAGTCAACAGGCCCTTCCAGGCCCTTCCGCTTAGAGGAACGCCGGCTTTGTGAGTTTTGGCAACCGGATAGGACCACTACGGGAAGTTGGAGGTTCCTCCAGATGCCGATCTGGCAGCTTGGCATGTGGATGGTACCGAGCGGCAGAATCAAAAACGAACATGTCCTTCCAAAATGAGCTCGTCCAAGGTTCCAAAACTGACAAAAGTTTGACATGCAGGAATTGACATCTTTAAAATCGGTGGATGCTGGACCTTTTTCCCGGCTCATATAGCAAGAAAGGATGAAACATGAGGGCTCACGGAGCTAGAGAGTGACCAGGAGGACAAGCAAAGCCTCACTTCTTAGGATAGCAGTGTATGTACTTATGAATGTGTTTGGAATACATGCCCCTGGTACCCAGCGCCAAGGTAGTGATTGCAGGTCTCAAAAAGTGCGCCGCAACAAACTCGTGATATATAAATGATCATGCACCGAATACAGAAAGTGACACAAACAGCAACGTAGAGCCAAATCATCTTTGTGCTTGTAACGCATTCTTCAGACGGTATGTGTTGCATCGCTACATGGTGTTTGGACAAGCGTGTTGCCCACCCGGATTCTGAGGCCAGCATCCGGCGCGCGTACCGGAAGCTGGCGCTGTTGACGCATCCGGACTGGCAAAAGAGCATCATAAAAAGGATATAAATATAGGAGAAGATAAAATGTTTGAACAAAACATTGGGGAAGATGAGAAGAGACTGGAAGTGAGGAATGATGCGCAACTGACCAATTCGACGAGAGCCTGAGAAGAGGGAGACGAGACAACTGTGAGGACAAACCCAACGGCGATCGCCAACGTTTTGAGGAGAGTTGACACGTTGTTTGTTGAACTTACGGAGTTTGGAACGGAAGTGCTGTTCAGTTACGTGTTCCGGTTGTGACAAAACTGCTTCTATTGTACGAGAGGAGGTGTCTCGCGCGTATGAGATTCTGACAGACCCAGCCCAGCGAGAGGCCAAACAAGTTTTGATTTTTCTGCTTTGAAGGGAGGCCATCGCTCTAGATAAACTATAATTTTTGATAATTTTGTGATGGCAATGCTGCTTGAGGCGCACGACCAGGAGCGTTTACGCCGAGCTGCTGCTTTGGAGGAAGCTGCACTGCGTACCTTGAAGTTGAGATTCAGGTGCGGTTCTTTGGGAAGAGCACACCAACATGGACAAAGAGTGAAATTATTCAGACTTCTTCCTTGAAGACTCTAAACTCAGCACTCATCCTGAGTTTTATTCTTGTTCTCTACTAGCAGCTACATGAAGGTGTACTGTTTTTTGTTTTTGTACCCTACATTTTTGCACGCTGAACGCATTTTGGCACCTCGCAGCACCTACTAAAACACCCCCGCACTTGACTGTCTACGACTTGGAATGAACACGCACGCACTCAACGGATACTTATGCAATGACATTTGAACAGTATGGTGTGCCGTTTACAGCACTGGCGCCATGACCGCTTCCGATCTTTCCTGAAGCCTAAACAGGCGCAGGGCCAGGACACACTAAATAGATCTAAATACCACGGCCGTGTGTGGCAGTGCCGCAAGGTCAGGCCAGCGGCCGCAACTCAACAACCATCATGAACCATCAAACACAACACAACGACCATCATTGCAAAGTACAACTTGTTCTTCCGTCGAATCTTCCGTCGATTCTCTCTTCGTTCTCTGGTCGAACAGGAACAGAATGAACAGAGCTGTTGGAACAGATACTAGTAGTAACAAGTGCCACACTAGTAGTAACAGGTGCCTTACTAGTAGTAACAAGAAGCTAAGACGAACGTTGGCGTGTCGCCTCGTCGCCTCGTTTCGTGTCGTCGAGGCCAAGCCGCGATGTGGCGAGCGATTTCGGCCGCGACTTGGAGAACCTCACGGGCCGTGCGCGCGAGGCCAGAGAATCCAATTGTGTTTCTTTTCTTTTGTATGTTGAGCATTCTTTCTTCAACTCGCACACTGTGACATCTCACATTTTGATTCTCTTGTCATGCGCACTTTGCCAACGATTGCAAGTCTCCTGAAAGCAAATGATTGTCGTAGCAAAATTCAAAATGAACATGCTTTGGAACATTTTGGAACCAGGGAAGTCGGGTGGAGTTGGGGAGGAGGACGTGTGACTCCAAAGCTGCCAGGTTTTGTGGTCTGCCATGGGCTCCCTACACAGCATGGTTGCAGTGTTGAGCTTGGAGTTCTTGTAGTTTTCTTCTAAAGATAGGTTTTTTCCTCCTGAGGTCCAGTTTGCTGAAAAACAGCCTGCGGAGCCTCAGACTGTGAAGACCTTGAAAGCCTCCCCTTGCACAGCTGTGCTTTCTGTTTATAGAGAGCTAAGGCTGCAGGTCCTGAAGGGTCCAATTTCTTGTAAGGCAGGATTTGTTTCGTTCGAAACGAACTCGATACAAGAACTTGAATGGATCTCAAGGCATTGAAGTTTACTTGTTGCACAAATGCATCAACACTTTACTTCCGCCTCAGGCATGCTTGAGTGAAGTCACGTCTCACGTAGGAGATCTCTACTGGCACTCGATCTTGTACATAGTCCGAACCGACTTGAGTCCGCCCAATCTCCGTTCCAAAAGCGAGAAGTGCTTATACAAGCTCACGAGCTTGATGCCGTCATACCATGTACCTCAGTTGGCACTGGGAGATTCCCAAGTACATGCAATTGAAGTGGCGGTCAGCAGTCTTTGGTCCAGAAGAGCGTAGTTCGACACTGTCTCTCAACATCTCAAATTCCATCGCCAGACCAACGACTTTGAGACTTCAAACTTCTTCACGTCACGACATCACAACGAAGACAGGATGACAAACAAATAATGACGATAACGATCTTGACAAGACAAACATTTTGTGCTTGACTTGATCTCGCACTTTGTGTCACTTCACACTTCGTTTCACCAGCTTCATTGTGGAGGCTTCGTCGCATTTTGTGGGGGGTTTTGCACTTTGGGCGCTCAGCTCAGTGTTGACACCGATTCAAGCTGCAGTCATTTGATAGGAACACCCAATGACCCTGCAGCATGCAGCATGCCTGACATCCTTGAACTCGGAGAGTCAATTGATGGGCCTCAATTGAAAGGACTCCCCGTTCCGGACCCTGAGAGCAATAGAAAAAGCCAGGTGTTGATCACGATGACATGATCATCGAACTGCAACCCGTTATACTCACACATTTGCCTCGTCGGAGCTCCCACGAGTTCAGTATCGTATGAAACGACCTGTCCTGTAGAGGTACCGGGTTCCCGGTATGTCTCCTCATCCCATCTCACCGACTTGAAGGCCTTCTCCATTGCCACCCTCAACACTACACAGTCCTCAACAAATTGCTCCTAGTAGCGTCCTTGCTCCTAGTAGTAAGGCCAGGAGCCCCTAGTAGCGTCCTTGCTCCTAACAGCGATGCCAGGAGCCCCTATAGTAAGTAGCGTCCTTGCTCCCAACAGCGATGCCAGGAGCCCCTAGTAGCGTCCTTGCTCCTAATAGCGATGCCAGGAGCCCCTATAGTAGCGTCCTTGCTCCTAGTAGTAAGGCCAGGAGCCCCTAGTAGCGTCCTTGCTCCTAGTAGTAAGGCCAGGAGCCCCTATAGTAGCGTCCTTGCTCCTAGTAGTAAGGCCAGGAGC